CCTAGGGCAGGAGGTCAGACTCGATAATCTGTTGACGTCCCTTCCGATTCTAGCATCTATTAATCTATTTAGAAAACCTGGACATACACAAGTCCATAGGGCCGGACAGGATGTACTTGAGGGTGCTGAGGGAATTGGTTGATATGACTGCAGAGGTGCTGGCCATTATCTTTGAGAACTTATGGGGATCAGGATTGGTTCTAGATTATTGGAAAAGGGCAAACATAGTACCCATATTTAAGAAAGGGAAAAAGGAGGATCCAGGGAACTACAGATCAGTCAACCTCACCTCAATCCCTGGGAAAATCATGGAGCAGATCCTCCAGGAATCCACTTCTAAGCACTTGGAAGAGAAGGTGATTATGAATAGTCAGCATGGATTCACCAAGGGCAAGGCATACCTAACCAACTTGATTGCCTTCTATGATGAGATGACTGGCTCTGTGGATGTGGTATACCTTAATTTCAGCAAGGCTTTTGATATGGTCTCCCACATTTTTGCAGGCGAACTAAGGAAGTATGGGCTGGATGAAGGGACTGTAAGGTGGATAGAAAACTGGCTGGAGCATTGGGCTCCGAGGGTAGTAATCAATGGCTCAAGATCTGGTTAGCAGCCAGTATCAAGTGGAGTGTCCCAGGGGTTGTCCTGGGGCCTGTTTTTTTCCAATATGTTCATCAATGACCTCAAGATGGGATAGAGTGCACCCTCAGCAAGTTTGCAGGTGACATCAAGCTGGGAGGAACAGTAGATTTCATAGACATTAGGGCTGGAAGGGACCTCGGAAGATCTTTGAGTCCAGCCCCCTGCCCAAAGGGCAGGAAGTCAGCTGGGGTCATAGGATCCCAGCAAGATAAGCATCCAGTTTCATCTTGAAGGTGTTCAATGAAGGCGCTTGAACCACCTCCGGTGGCAAGCTGTTCCAGACCTTGGGGGCTCGGACAGTAAAGAAATTCTTCCTTATGTCCAGCCTGAAACGATCTTGAAGTAGTTTGTGACCATTCGACCTCGTCATCCCTTGGGGCACTCTGGTGAACAAACGTTCCCCCAAATGCTGGTGGTCACCCCGGATAAACTTGTAGGTGGCCACCCACTGGTCACAGGACACCACGATGAGTGACTTCCATCAATTACTACCCTCTGGGTCTGATATGTACTTGGAGGGTAGGGCTAGGATTCAGAGTGACATAGAAAAATGGGAGGACTGGGCAAAAAGAAATCTCATGAGGTTCAACAAGGACAAGTGCAAAGTCCTGCACTTAGGATGGAACAGTCCCATGCACCACTCCAGGCTGGGGGCTATCTGGCTGGGTAGCACAGTTCTGCTGAAAAGGACCTACAGTTTACAGTGGACAATAAGCTGAATATGAGCCAACAGTGTGCCCTTGTTGCCAAGGCAGCTAATGACATATTGGCCTGCATCGGTAGGAGTGTTGCCAGCAGGGCAAGGAAAGTGATTATTCCCCTCTATTCAGCACTGGTAAGGCAACATCTGGAGTACTGTGTTCAGTTTTGGGTCTCCTGCTACAGAAAGGATGTAGACAAATTGGAGAGAGTCCAGCAAAGGGCAATGCAAATGGTGAGGGGGCTGGGGCATACGACCTATGAAGAAAGGCTGAGGGAACTGAACTCATTTAGTCAAGAGAAGAGAAGAGTGAAAGCAGATTTAGTAGCAACTCTCAACTAACTGAAGCGGGGTTTGAAAGTGGATAGAGCTAGACTGTTCTCAGTGTTGACAGATGACAGACAAGGAGCAACTGTCTCAAGTTGCAGCAAGGGAAGTTTAAGTTAGAAATTAGGAAGAATTTTCTCACTAGGAGAGTAGTAGAACACTGGAACAGATTTCTCAGAGAAGTTGTGGATTCTCCATCTTTGGAAGTTTTTAAGAACCAGCTAGACAAAGCCTTGGCTGTGATGATCTGGTTGGGGATGGTCCTGCTTTGAGCAGGGAGTTGGACTAGTTGATCTCCTGAGGTCCCTTCCAACCCTAATTTTATATTATTCTAAGGAGGAGACAGTAGGGTTGGGATGGGAGACAGAGGGAGTAAAACAAGGGATGGAAGGAAGGGAAGAAGCAGAATATAACAATATGGAGAATTTGTGGGGAAGGGGGATAAAAGTAAAAGAGGAGAGAACTCAGGGGCTGAAAACAGTGGGTTTCACAAACCAGCTGATTATTAGAGAGAAATGGAAGAAAGTGTAGAGGAATAAGAAAAGATGACAAATATACATAGATGAGAAGAAAATGGAATAAGAATGGAAGAGGACAGAGTGGACTTAGGCAGGTGACACCATCTGGATTACTGCACATGAGACTGTAGGGTAGTACTGCAAACCTGTCACAGAAACAGAGATGGAACACCAAAAACCTGGGGACCACAGACTTGAGAGCAAGAAGACTGAAATCACAAAGTAGGGGTTCAATTCATGATCTTTCTAAAAAGTTATGGCTATGTAGGCCAAAATTAAAAAAAAATAATAATGTGGGTACAGGCAGCTGGTGACTTACAACGTTTCGAGTTACAACGTTTCGCACTTACAACTTTTATAAATTGACACCTTGTTTCAACTTTATGACATCAGTTTCAGCTTTACAACGCTTGATCAGATGCAACGCCATGTCAGCGAAGAAGTTCGCTGTGTCGCTCATCTCCCTGGAGAACATCTGTCCAAACTTCCTTGGACACTTTCTTTAAGAAAGTGGACAAGACTCCAGAAAAACCTGCAGCCCAGACTCCTGAGAAGACTCCAGACAAAAACCCCTCAAAAAGTCCAGCAAAGTCACCTCAAAGAAGTCCTTCCAAATCAATATGATTGCTATTTACAATATAAATGCATTAATGTAGCTATATTACTCATCTATCATTGATAAAATAACAAATTCTGGGGTATTTTTGGTGAAAATAGCATATCGGGCCTTGGTTCAGGAACTAATCCCCCATTGATAACATTGTTTTTTATGAGAAAATTGTTCCGAGTTGCAACGTTTCGACTTACGACGTGTTTTTCAGGAACCAATTGTGTAGTAAGTCTGAGGACTGCCTGTATCTATAAATGTGAACTTCAAATTTAAACATGGGCACCAAAATAAATGCTGCAGTTTTCAAAAGTACAGAACACCGATTTAGTGGGAGTGGTTGAGTACCAAGTCTTTTTTTTTTTTTTTTTAACCTGGGGTACCCTCTAACAAAATTCTAGTTTAAGCTGTGTCAATGTATTTATCTGTTAAATGGGGATTAGATTATATAATACACATATCAGCAGTATTGAGAAAAGAAATTCATTAAAATGATTTAAGGACTTAAAATCCTCAGAAGAACACAAAGTTGGAAAACAGAATATTGTGGAACCCTAATTATTTAATTATATGCTAATTTTCTTAAACACACTTCTAGTCATTTTCAGTCTTAGATGCTTAAAAGTTAGGCATTTGCTTAAATGTGTTGCTGAATTCGAGTCTCTATGAACAATGAAACAAAAACCAGTTGAATTACTAAAACTAATTTAGGAAGTTCAGATCAACCTTTACAATGCTGCATCACAAATACAAAATTAACAATATTAAATAAAGTTTCTTATAACATTTTCCACTTTAATCTTACCATCAATGCATAAGAAGCACAGACGCTATGAAATCCATAATAGAATGCTGCAAACTGTTTGTAGATTGATTTGTTGAGAAGGAAGTCAACATAGAACTGCACATATTCTGAAAAGAAAAGTATTTCATTTTCTTTTAATTATAAAGTAACAACTTTTCAGATAATCCTTTGCTGCACTGTATCTTAAATTGAGCTAAAGTAATACAGAAATATTTGAAATACAGTTTAAGTAGAATTAAAAATAGCATAATAATTTTTACTGCTCTACGAAATTACATCTGTTTTTATTACAGAGGATGCATTTTCTTTTTGATTTATTGTATCTTTAATGTACCTTTTCTATTCCGATTTGTAACTGGAACTTTATCACCATTTGGTTTTAGGTTATAAGATTTTATGGCTCCAAATTCTTCTTGAAAAACCTGAAGAGAGACAACATTATAATACCTGTAACTCCTATTCGTATTAATTAGGATGAACAGATCAATTGACTCATAAATACCAGAATAGAAGGAATCATAAAGACCATTTAGTTTGACTTTCTGCACAACACAAACCATACAGTTTTGCCATACATCATATTTACTTGAATACAAGGGTTTCCTTCCCAACTGGCATGGGAAAAAGCCCCATGTCTTATAACTGCATACAAGGAAACCTCAATAAATATACCGTCAACCATTAAACTACTGCCAAAAGCTGTATGTGCTCAGCAATGGAAACCAACTATGAAGTTGATTAAATGCAGCCAACACTGAGCATAACTGCACAACGCATGGCCCACATGAAGCAAACATGCTGGTGGGAACCTACCACAAGATAGGTTAGTATAGCCCTTCTGAATCAGATATTTGGTAGTGCCCATTGCAATTAGTCTCCCTCAGCACTGAGACTTTTTCAAGCCATGGTGAGCCACCATATTGAATAAATATCAATTTCCTCTTTACTCTCACAGCTGAGCTGTGCCTTTCTTTTCCTTTTCCAGTGTTTCCTGTTACTTCAGCAGCCTTAAATGCCTGGCAAACATCATGAAGCAGAGCTCCAAACAGTTTATGCAGAATCTTTCTGTCACCCCCTTTCTCAGCCTGGAGCATATGATTAGTGCGGCCCTACCCTCCATGAGGTGAAGCTGGATCAGGCTGCCTTGCATCTGCATATAAATTTTAAGAGTATCCCAGGACTCATGACAAAAACAATTGGTTGTAGTCATGAATGAAAGCAAATTAGCACATGGTTCCTATGGTGGCGAGGGGAAGGAGGGGTAATCTGGTATATACACACAAGCTGACCTCTGGAGTCATTATGGCTTGAAATGCTGTTGACTCGAGTAGGTCCCAGCCCAATAAACTATGTGGTAAATCACAAGGGTTTGGTTTTGAACTAATATTATGCATAGTGCTGTAGAAAAGTGTTTATGGATTACCTGTGCTAAAATTTGCAGTAGTTTAAAAAAAGGTAACATGCATCCATGAAGTAAGTGTATGGGTATTATATGCAAATTGCTACAGCTTTATTTAATTTCAAAGTTATTATTTTCAAATTTGCTCTTCACTTCCACGTGTTCAGGGAGAGCAGCATCTGACAGTAAGGAAAGGGGGAAGGGGCTGCTAGGGGAAAAGGCTGGAAGGAAGCAGAGAGCAAAGGGGCTACCTGACTCCACAGTTTTATTTTTTCTGCTCTAGCAGTGCGAAGGGGAAAAATTCAAGGCAGACCTCCAATAATTAGATTCTATAAGTAAATGAACTATTCAAAATAGCAACAGTGAGAACATCACACACAAGATTTGAGTTGTAGACTCTAGTACAATGAAAGAGAAAAAGGCTTTAGGAACATTGGACATCTATATACATGATGGACCTCTACTCCGACATGTGCTAATTAGCAACTGAGCCTCCTGTGAATCTGCTGGAGTGTGCTATGTAGCGCACTCCAGCAGCCTCTGCGTCATGTGTGTTCAGCATCCCCTCATTTCAAAATGGTGGCAGGGGCAATTTAACTAAAGCTCATCAAATGAGCTTTAGTCAAAGCACCCCTGCTGCCATTTTGAAGCACAGGATGCTGAATACATGTGATGCTGTAGGCACTTTAATTAGAGCAGCTTTCATAGAATCATAGAAAATGAGGGTTGGAAGGGATCTCAGGAGGTTATCTAACCTATCTAGTCCAACCCCCTACTCAAAGCAGGACCATCCCCAACTAGATCACCCCAGTCAGATCATCCCAGCTCTCAGAGTCACTAATTAATCCCGCTTCCCCATACCCTGGAGTACATGTATAGATGTCCATTAAGCATGCTGGAAGAAATAAACTCTTAATTGTATGTCCCATAGAAACTAAAATAATTCATGTTATGAATATTTCCATACCACTTGATAACAATAACTGAACTACAGCAAAATAAACTGAACAAGAATAAGCTGATGTCCAATTTAAAATGTTTTCAGGCTTGCATGGGGATTAAAAGTAAATTTTCCTGACTGAACTAAAGTGACTATATGCTAGAACACACCTTTACCTAGGCTAAATTCCTACATCATACCAACTCTTTCATAACTGGAACAGGGATCTCTAAGCCAGACTTTTGGGCTTGAATATATCAAATAGTTACCCAGTATATTTCAGGGCTAGATAAATCTTTTAAATTGGGCAAGTCTCTACCTAAATCATATTTTCAGCTCAACTTTCAGACTCAGACAATCCTCCAAAACTGAAGCAAGCCTGGTTGGACCACAACAGGGTCACAGTAGGACCCTATTGTGGTTCAACCTATTGCTTCACAAAACTGAAGTAAGCCTGGATCACAGTAACTTTCAAATTCAGGCAAGCTTTATAGCACTGAAGGCCAACCTTCTTGGCAGATATGCCACAAGGTCAGCCCTGTGCTCACTCTGATCCCCTTCCCTTGCTGTTGCCCTGTTTTCTGCTTCCTGCCCTATCTGTAGCTGTCCTGCCTGTCCCCTGATCTCTCGATGCATGTCACAAAGATTGCCCATGCCACATGTGGCAAGTGTGCCAAAGGTTGGCCACCATTACCTTATAGCCTCTTATCCTTTACCCACCTAAAGGCTGAACAATCCATATTCATTTTTGGTGATGGACCACTCCATTGGAGACATGGACAGATCTATTTATCTAGTTTGATAATCACTCAGAATTTTACTATTTATAGTACCTGGAAGGTTGAATAGAAATCTTCTTCAACATTGCCTTCATAGGATAGGAGTTCACTTAGTCCATGAGCTAACTCCTGCAAAAAAAGTTCACTAAATTTATCAAATTAGATACAATTCCACCGTGTCCTTTTCAAGCCATTTCTAGCGGGTAATCATTCCATCTTATTATGAAACTATTCTGAAATCATACAAACTCCTCAGTGGGAGAATACAAAAGCCATATACAAATTCTTACCAGTTGGATCAAACCCCCAGAAAGTTATCCTGCTATAAGATTTCTGTATAGCACCAACCCTAATATTAGTAGAAACCAGACATTCAGAATAAATGATTCCAGAAAAGGGATTTTGTGATTATCACGGTTATTTAAGTGGATTACGCAGACTGGTATCTAGGTCTGCAATGAGCAAACTGGAGTCTAAGGGCCAAAGAAACTGATCATCCGTTCTAAGAGAGGCATGGCTCTTCAGAACGCTTGTCCTCGGAAGATGAATTACAGAAACTTTTAGGCAGTAGTGGAAGTTTACTTCTTATCTTTACCTTTTCTTTAAAAAAAAAAAAACACCACCAAAATCATGACAGCCTTGACAATGGGGTGAAGATCAGATGCCAAACTTGTTAAGATAGCTCTTCAATTTTTTTTAGGTGGTATTCCTTTGGGAATATTAGGATCTCTTTTTGCATATTACCTGTTTACAGTGGGGAGCTGGAGAAGCAAGTTAATGAGGAAGAAATAAACTCCTCCTCAAACACCTATATAATGACCTAATGAAAGGCTTCACTCTATCCAGATAAATAATATTGCTTTGGGTGCAGACAGAAGTGACAATTTTTGCCTGACCTGGACAAGAAATCAGTTTATAGCTATGACCAAACAGAAGTGCACGGCTGCTGACACCTTAAAAAGTGGCTGACTGGGTGAAAATCTCACCCCTAACTGCATGAGGTATCAGAAAAAGATGCTTCAAAATGTAGCATCTTTTGTAACTTGTGTCCACAGAGCTCCCAGCCTGTTGCTGTTTTCAGAATGGGAGTGGGGAAAGGGAGTGGAGGGAGTTCAATCTGTGGGTTTTTAGCACCCCCTGCAGAGTGGGGCAGTTGTACTGGAGCCCCTCTGCCCACCCCAGGTGGGTGGGCTCCAATTTACCTACCCCACCCTTCAGCACTAGCTGGGGAGCTAAAAGAACAAGCTTCCTCCGCTGCCTTTCCTCCCTCCCATTCTAAAGACAGCAAGCACTGGCAGAGAGCCTGGCTGTTGTTATGGGAACCTGGGTGCAGGCTCCCAGCAGGCAGCTAGATTCCCCTACCCCCTGAAACCAACAGTGAACTTCTGTTTGGTCTGGGGTAATGTTGTAACTCAGAACACTTTGCAGAAATATTTCTGAGTTACAGCTGGGAGTTACACTTCTGTCTGCACCCTTTATGTCCAGCCTACCCCATATAAACTTCCTCCTGTGACATGAGAACATGAAGGGCCAAATTTTAAATATGTACTTAGCCTTCTAACAAGGAAGATAAACACCTAGGGCATCTTCACACATGCTCTGAGGAGTGTGTGTGTGTGTGTGTGTGTGTTGGGGGGGGCAGGGGGTGCTTTAATTAGAGAGGCTCTTAAGAGTCGCTCTAGTTAAAACGCCTGCAGCATCTCATCTATTCAGCATCCCACACTTCAAAATGGTGGCGGGGGCGCTTTAACTAAATCCCGTTTGATGAGCTTTAGTTAAAGTGCCCCTGCTGCCATTTTGAAGTGCAGGGATGCTGAATACACGTGAAGAAAGGAACTGAAATGGCAGTTATGTCAAGGTAACAGTGTCAAACTCAGCTGCCACATGGACCGGTTCTGTGCTATGGACATGTGCCATGCCCTTTGTGGGTCTGATCAGACCATGGGGCAGCACCGGAGGCCAGATGGAGGGGTTCCACAGGCCAGATCTGGGCCATATACATTTGAAACCCCTGACCCAGGGGGAGAGGTTTAAGACTGAGTTCATGCTGTCCCCAGCATGGATTTTGGTCACAAAATAATGGATGGGGCCATGTGTAGGTAGCTTGGAAAGTTTCGTTCCTCCAGAACTGATGCATGCCCAATAACTTTACTACGTCTACTGACTGCAGGGGATAGTATGGGTCTCCCAGAATACAATTCTGCAGTTGTGTTGCCCTCCAGTTTTTCCCCATAAACTCAAATAATAGAAAGGATATTTTGGTTCAACCTTTTAGGAGTAGGCAAGCAGAGATTTAGCACAAAAAGGCAGCCTAAAAGGCAAATAGTATAGAAAGTTGTAAACATATTGAAAAGCAACTATTATATGTACATTAAACAAAAACAGAAGCAACCAAGTAATCAAATTAAACTAGCTATTTCAATAAATCAGCCTTTAAAATAATGATTTATACTTACAGGCATAATCTGATACAGGTCATCTAATGTAACATCACAGATGCCTACAGGAGTATTTTGATCACAAGGAACAATGGGAGGACTCAACAGTTTCTTGTAACAGCAGGGTGGGAAGCGAATATCCAAGGTAATACTATTATATACAGCGAGTCCCATAAGCTATAAATGTCAAATGTTAAATGGAAAATCACCTTCTTATTATTATTTAATAATTTTAGGCAATCTTAGATAAACAACTTAATATACATAGAGTACTCACAATACTAATTTAAGTGAAAAATTATGTTCCTTTTTTCACGTCCATAATTTTTTTAATCTAAATGCAACTATATGTTATACTTTAAGTAAATAAGATTAAAATTACTATAGAATGCAATTTGATGAACTCTTGAAATCCTTTATACTCAAGATACTATATCACTAATGCAAGGACATACTGGTTAACATTAAAACTACAGATACAGTAATTTTACTCCAAGAATTCTGTATTCTAAATATCAATGCTTCAATAAAAATAGAAAAACATTAGGTAAGACCTATGATGATCATGACTTTCTATAGCTGACAATTTCAAGATGTTCCCACAAATTGGTAATGAAGGTGGTGCTATGGTGATTATTGTCTGTATGACCCACTAGGTGGCAGAAAAAAAAAAGTGTAATGGGTAGCGCAGCTGAATGCTGCCCTGGAGAACTGGAGCCTTGGAGCTCCTCTGCAAATTGGACCAAGTATTAGATAGCAGGTTTGGTAACCAAAAAATAAGAAGAAACATAATTATTAAGCACCTATGAAAACTCTGATTTATGTGAGCTGCATGATTTATTCTATGGAATACCAGGAAATATTTTAATTCTGGCATTTCCCAGTTTTGAAGTACTTGATTCCTAGTAATCATGCCTACGTATACACAAGTAGTTAAAATATATTTTTCTTATTTTTAGTTTTCTTCTACAAATTTCAGTGTATTCTATTTTGGCTATATAAAATTAAAAAGGGATGTCACCTGAAAAAGGAAAACCATGCTAAAAGCTTAAAAAGTCTGTTGTATTTTTTTCAGACATTCCTGC